TTATCCATTATATAATCATGCCCTGTTATGGAATTTTATCATGGAATATTTTATAAGTGTACTGCATTAAATTAGTAGAAAGCACCAGAAGTATTAGAGGTATTTTATCAGACTTTCATGAATTCAATTCTAAAATGCCAATTTTGTCAACATCTTAATCCAGTTTTATGAAGAAATCGTAAAATTTCCTTTTAGATGTGCATGTAATATTATTACTTGCATGACAGTTTTGATGTGCACAATTTCTTGTCGAGGGCAATTAGAAAATAAATATTTTTGAAAGAGATAAGAGAGATGTTAAATTGAACACTGGAAAGTTCAAATTTTGTCATTGAAGGCATGGATAGAAAATGATGATAGCAATTAGCAAACTCATAAAATCTTTAAATATTCAGGTGACAATTTGTTATGATAAAGCAATGTATTTGATGATTCTAAGCATAAAGGTTTGTGTTAAAATATCGTGCTGAGCTAATTTTCATTGTGGCCACCACATTAAACATCTTGTTGAAAATCTTGTTTTCCCCATTCCTTCTGAATGGAAAGTCATATTGGCGTGTTTTTACCAGAATTCATTGAATGTATAGTAGATACTAAATCAATGTGCTGCTACCCATAGGTCATACTGTAACTTTTTTTAAAATTGCTACTCCTTCTCAATGGATAGTAATTATCAACACACAGTTCTTGTGATGTCTTGTTGGTTCTAAATGTGTTGATTGGACATTCATTGTCTCTGACACAGCAGCCATCATGAAAATCTAGCTACTCCTGAACGAAAAGTCATATTAGCATGTGGATTTTACTTGGTTTTTCTTTTGATGTCTCACTGGTCTCCGATGTAAACGTTACTGATCTTATTTATGATATCGCCACCATGACAGCCATCTTGAAAATCTTATCTCTACTCCATCTCAAAACAAAGTCATAATGGCATGGTGTTTTCACCAAAAGACTTAACATGATGTGCAGTTAGTTCTAAATGAACAAACTGCTGTCCAGACATCCAATATAGCCATCACGGGGGCATCATACAGATTTATTATTGCTTCACCTGAACAGATGGTCATATCAGTATGGGGTTTTCACTAATGATATGATATCATATTTGTCCTAAAATGCAAATGGTGACCAATATTAAATCCACTATGACTGTCACATAGGCTATTTTTAAAATTTTGTAACTGAAGAGGATTGGAATTCTGAACTGAAAATTATTTTCGGAGAGTAGAGAACCAGTTCCTTCATGGGATTCTTGCCTGTGTTCTAACAGTTATTTCGATCCTTTATATATTAAGAAAGCTTTACATACACATGTTTCTTCAAAATTAACCACACTTAATCTCTTTGACAATACTATGCAAGGAACAATTTGTTCATGTTCCTTACTTGCCTTGAATGGAGATGCAGCAGACCCAACCTTTCACACCTTTACATTGTTTCTTTTATTTCTTCCAATACCTGTGTCTGTGACCCACTTTTCATGAGTAACATTTTTTTCAAAAAATTCAGTGCAGCACATCTCATGGGTGCTATGTACGTTTTCTAATTTCCTTTGAATTTATATTTTAGCCCATATTTATCAGTTCTACTCCATCATCAAAACTGGAACATTGGAACATATTTTTATGCTGTAGTGACTTGTTTAAATTATATAGACCTGCAGTTATTACACATGCAAGATTGACATTGCTTTATTTACTGCAAGGAACCCTAACAAAAGAAAATATTTTTTTGTTTGGTGCATTAAAACATGTTCACTTGATAGACTGGATTTGGAAATGAAATTTACCAATTCATTCTTCTTTTCTTTACAACTAAAACTATTTTACAGTTTAATAATTGGAATATGTTTATTATCTAATGTGTTAGTAATAATATTAATACTATTTTGAGGTAACTTGAGTTTCCAGCTTTGCATTTTTGTCCAGTTTATGTTTCTTGGACATTATCGTTCATTTTCTCAGTCGTTTTTTATACTTAAAATGTGACATTATTTTGCCAGGGCGTTGGCAAATATTTAATTTATCAAAATATTCAGTATCAGTGTTTCAAAATGCAGTCAATATAGCTGATTAAATTTGCACCCTCTTTGCGTTTGTTTAACCTAGCTACACTTGGCAATGTGGCACTTTATTTTCAGTTACCAGAAACATGGAGAGAAAAAAATTACTTCGTTTACTTGGTAGAAATTTCATTGGTATGTCAGAAAGAGATTTCTAGGAAGTTGAGGGTGACCGAGCGATCAAATGGACTTGCCTATTACAGATCACCCAAATCTTGTATCCGCGTGGTTTTCGGTCTCGACTGTAACCAATGTGGGTATGTAAGAAAGGTTGCGATTAACTTCCCGTGAGACGGTGGTTCTTCCCCAAGTTCTTCCTTCACCACAATATTTTTGCAACCATTTATAGCCTGCCTTGTGCTCAAAAATAGTGTTAAACCCACTAAACCAAATTTTGCCCTCTAGAAGGTTGCAGCGTAATCTCGCGATAATTTAAGTTTTTCTGCTTTAGAGTGAAGAAATTGACTATTTATTGATTGATTGATTGATAATTGAGGTGGTAAGTTTATAAACAATATATTCTCAGTTTTCTCGATGTTGTAAACATTATTATGTGAGATGGAGAGAATGAGTATAGGGCTGTATATGATGACCAAAAAGACATACAAAGTAACTTTGCAGATTGAAAATATTTCCAGATATGCTGTTTTGAACAGGACGATAAAGCAATTCACGTTATCTCTGTCCTATATTTAACGTATTTTTTATTCTGCTCTTACATGGTTTTGACTTTGTTTTCAAAATTATCAGAAACAATTTAGGACAATGGAGTTTTCCAATCAGAAGTGCCTGATAAATTCTTTAAATTTGCCACATGGTACTGGATCTCAACGATTGTGATCACATTTTGAAAAGCTGTTGGAGTTTTCTTTATAAAACTAGTTCTAATGCATGATTAATGTGGCTATTGGAGATAACTGAAGTTGAATTTGTAATAATTTCAAAGCTAATGCAGCATGAAGTGCGAAATGGTTTGAAATGATAGCTAAATTTCTATGGTTACCCTGTCCCAATTTGATGTTAATCTAACATTCAATAGTCATTTTGAATAACATTGTATCATATAGTTTCCCCGTGATTACTTCTTGTTTTTGTCATAAAGAAAGCATACATTTTAAATTAATCTTGTTAAAGCAAGTTTTAACACACACACACACATATATGAGAGAGAGTGAGCACATTTGACTCCAAGTAAGCCAGTACATGTACGCTACCCTACAGACTTGAATTCACTTGAGCAACTTTAACTCAAAACACGCTAATAATCATGCACAGCTGATTTTTTAATATTACATTTGTTGTACATATAATGCTGACAATTTTAAGAATACTGATTTAAATGCTGATGTTATTAAGGAAATATAACAAATTTGTTTTTACAGCTGGATATGCTATTAGCAACATAAGTGTTACACTTTTGATACAATCTGTCCACGTCTGTCCGAATCGTTGGCTCGGCTAACGTGGAAACATGGTCCGTAATCTTCATGAGGTTTTCCCGGGTTCTTCCTTTACCCAATATCGGTAACCATGTGTAGCCTGTTTTGTGATGAAAATGGCGTTAAATCCTCAAAAACAAAAACACTAATGATACTGTCTTTTGATTTTAGCGATCACTCTTAACAAATAGAAATTAATTGATATCTAGTTTTTAATGTTCGACACGTCAATTATTATTTATATATGATTATGGATCTATTTAGGTGGAAGGTGGAATTTAACTTGAGTGATTAATTGATATTGAATTAAGAAAACAAAATCAATGATTTTGCCAATACGTTTTGCATATTTAAACGGAGACAAGATCGAAACATTTAGAAGTGTCGTCTCCATGCACGATGGCCATTTGATATTATGAATGATTCAACGCAAAATTGGAAACTTCTATACACGTCTGTGGAGTAGGTAAAATACTTATTTAAAGCCTTATTTGGACGCTCTTATAATAAACGCATCCCATGATAATGTTCTGTCCAGTAAACAAAGTTTAGAAATAAGCAACTCGAATCTAAACGGACTAGAGGCTCGAACGATTAAGGAGAGTTTTTGTTCAGCATCTCGTTATATCACTCACTGATGATTACACCCATGATTTTTTATTAGCTCTATAGGTCACAGACCAGAATGGGTTATAGGATGGTCTGTTTTCCGTTGTCCTTCGCCTGTCAGCCATCACCATCCATTAGCACAAGTTTGTTATCGCCGCTCCTATTAAACTGCTTATTGGATTGCCTTGAAACTGCACACTGAATGATTGGTCAAGGATGTCGATCTTGGCTCTACAATGGCCATCTTGAAAATATTCTTATTGCTACTGCGCAAACTCGAATTGTCATATCAACATGGAGTTTTCACTGAAAGTTTTCTTGTAATGTCTAATTGTCCTAAATGAAAATGATGCCAATCTGAGTCCAAAATGGCCGCCATGTCAGCCATCTTAAACATATTGCTTGAGCAGAAGATCATAATGATTATGATGTTCGGTTAGCTTTAAATGATAATGTTGTTAATGTGACGTCCAAAATGGTCACCACCTCAGCCATTTTGAAACTTGTTATTCCTAACTGAAAAGCCGTATTCTATAGATATTATCGCTCCAAATGGTTGGCTGTATCGAACATGGAGATTTTACCAATAGACTTCTTATGTTACAGAGTTGATAACATAAACCCAAAAGTTTGTGTGTGTGTGTGTGTGTGTGTGTGTGTTTTGGATTTTTAACATATTTTTAACACTTTTCCAGTCATATGGCTACGATGTCTGCAGTGTGGCAGTTTATAGTGAGGTCTAGCACTGGGGCATCATGCTGCTGACATGTAGCATGATCTCCCACCCAGTCACATTATTCAGACACCTGGTCGACCAGTGCTAACATTAATCTTTTAATGCTAAGAGCCAAGCGAGGCAATTGCTTGTACCATTTTTATAGGTCTTTGGACACGGGCGGAGATTGAACCCGGGACCTCGTGCATCCGAGGTTGACGCTCTAACCACTAGGCTACCATAGCGGTCTCCTAAATGTAAATGGTGTCAGTCGTGAATCAAATATGGCGGCCATGGTGACTGTCTTATAAATCTAGTCACGAGGCTGCTGTGCTTTTTTTGTTGCTTTTTGTATTATTACATCTTTTTATTCATTTTAATGATAAATGCCCTGAAAGATTTTGGGAAACGGACTCGACAGGTACAATAATGCCGACATGTGATGCTAGATATTTCTTACTGAATTCCGTCGTTTAATTCTTTTTCTAACTTAACTAAGTGTTAGCAGGTAATTCATATATGTCACATCATGTATACAGTCAAGAAAATAAATTCTGAGGGTGATTTCCACAAATATCATGGCTCCAGTCTCTTGTTATTCTTTCTTTAATCAATCTGGAAATATTAAATTAATTTCTGAAAACTGTCAGGGATTGATCGATTTTTAGGCCAGCGGGAACTTCTTAGAAGCACAGTATGTCTTACACATCACTGAAAACGATTGATCAACAGGTTTTATTAATTCATATGACAAGATCAAATCAATTTCTATCCCATTCGGAAACTGTATTTTTTCCATAGATTGGCCTCAAAGTTAGTATGACGTAGGACACTGAGGAAAACCGATTGTAAATAAAAAATTTGTTAGTTTCCTCATGACTTAACTGGGATATAGTGACTTTAAGTATGCTTTTTACCAAGCTATTAATGGAGGCTTTGCAAATTCCATCCATCATAAACTTGCATACCGAACGCTAATTACTCGAACGGGTGACACAGAGAAAATCTGAATTCACCCAATAATTGCATTGCATAATTAACTTACGTGGTATAGGGATAGATATAATGAAAACACTTTTCTCATCTCAACCATTAGGATATTTCCAAACTTGTGACGAGCAAGGATTTTTCTCCTGCAAAGTAAACGACAATATCAGTAGATTTTGCTTCTTCAGACATGATGTTACATATTTATGGAGGCTTAGACAAGTGTAAGGTCTCAAGCGATTAGTTAGTGAATTAATGAAGGTTTAATCATACAATTCCTTCTTCAAATAAGCCGAGGAGTAATTTGGAGTGGCTGTTCATTCCTCAAGCAGATTCCAATTGGTTTGTGTTTTTGTTGTTGAGATTTTCTTTGACCATGATAGGGCCTTGCGTAGTTTAATGACATATCTCAGTAAAGCGTTGCATTCGTAATCAAAGGGTCGTCTTTGTGTAAACGTTACCACAAAAGCTACGTCAAACACAAAAAATTGGAAAGTTGAAGCACTTATAAAGGATTGTTTCATGCATCCGACAAGAAAAAGGTAGAAACGGTGTAATTACTACGGTTATTTTATTATGTTCTCGTCACAATTGTGTTTTTAAATCCCACCTTAATTTTTAAAAAATGAGACTGAAAGAGTAATGTACAACAATCAAACTGTGCAAATCACTCTTGATTACAATGTTTGTGGAATTTTAAATTTTCGGCATTGAATCTTTTATACAAAAAAAGGTCGAGAAATATCCCATTTATTTCACCAGTATTCCGCGGCTTAAACATAATTTGATTAGCCTGTGATCTCAAATTTCCAAATACCTAAATATTCAGTTAGACGTTCGACTCAAACCCAACTCCCACTCGGAACCTTCATCGCTCAGTAGGGCCGCTGATATCTGCCGATTTACAATACAATTTAGATATTTAATCTACCACTACCAGATCGGCTCGGCGGATACTTACGTGCGTTAAGACTCTGACAAAAAAGTTCCGAATACTTAGTCTCTATACTTTGTTCGTTGTGATGGCTTGCATATATATATATATATATATATATATATATATATATATATATATATATATATATATATATATATATATATATATATATATATATATATATATTTACTAGAAAGTGTATCTTGCAAATTCTGTCTTTTGGCATGGAGGATATAATCCTAGCGGATCGGTTGCATGTCGAGAAAATATAACGATTGTCATTATATAGTACTTTTATTTGGATTTGGCACCAAATCTATTCCAGTAAAAGAAACAATAGAGCTGCCGTAATTGAATCCTTTATTAAAAGAGTTGCATATGATGCATACAAATTAATAATAAGAACACTACTACTACTACTACCACTACCACTACTACTAGTACTACTACTACTACTACTACTACTACGAAGAATGTATCTCTATGCACGGCGATCGGCGTCAGGTTTTACTCGTAACTAATTTATTTCGACTTCTTGAACTATATAGGAATTCAGGAATCAATATTGTTTTGGACAAGGCTAGTTGTCGGTGAATGGAGATTTCCAAAGGGATAAAACAAAATGCATTTGTAACATTTAGAATGTAATTTGCTTAAAGTAAAAAGCTCGTTTATGTTTAAACCTCCTTTTTAGACTTCGACGCACGAAAACCAAACGTTCGTTATTATTATAAGTTTATATTGCATCTTTTTCAGAAAATTGCAATAAAATGTATGACCCTCACACAAGCTGGCATAGGTACTACTCGTTTCAATTAAGTTCTTAAAATTGATTTAACGCTAAATAAAGAGTATAGTTTACCAAGGAAACTAATTTTTAATTTACATATTATGTTTACATTTTGAAGATTTTATACATAACTGACTGGTAAGAATTTAACCTCATGTTTTACGGAATTTATAAAGTAGTCCTAACAATTGTTTCATTACAAATAATATCTAAATACAACCTAAAATCCTAAAATAGTCTTAAAACTAAAATTACAACAAGAAAATAAGAAATAAAACTGACCAAAATCCGTCCAGCTATACGAACTTACACACAAGTATAAGAGTTTGAAATGCATTTTGCTACCACAATTTGCCATTATCCCACATAATAAAGAACCCCTTGACCTAATCCATCCAATTAGAAAAAATGTTTCCAAGAACCTAATTGACCCCACCAGCCTATGAGAAATTACCCCCCATACTCATCAACATGTTTACTACTAATATTACTAGTAATTTGATCGCAACTATTTATAGATCCTACGTAATCATCTCGCTCATAATATCTTAAAAGAGAACCTATACACGTACACAAAATTCTGTTATAGATGATCATTAAAACTTACAATCTTGAACAAAATTTTTAAAACAAATTATTGATATACAGAACAACTTTCCCTTAAGCAATTGTTTTTAACTCTAATCAATAAAGAATGATCAATATATCATCCAATAGTTTTTTTTAGGATTACAATGAAATTATTTTACGTTGAGTTGGATAAACAGAAAATATTATTAAATAAATATAAGAAACACAAAACATGTTCACATAGAACAATGAAATACATTTGAATTTATGAAATGTATGTCAAATTTGCGAGATAGAAAGAAATTAAAGTAAGGTAAGAGACCTTGACCAGTGTACAGGCAAGGAAGTAATGGAACTTTAATTATCTTAATAAATGCTGCTATTCATTCATAACCATGACAATTATTTGTTCATGAAGGGAATTGTAATACATTATGGTCATGAGGAAGAGCGAAATATCAAAAGTAAAACGAAGAGAGATATATTTGGGATGGACTAGTTTAAATCTGACACTTTAAGTAAAAAACCACACACAAAAAAAGGAAAAAGAAAAACTTGAACTTGATGCAGCGAAAATTATGAGCGGTTTTCTTATGTCTATTTGCAGAAAATATATAAGGAAACTGGCGGTGAACTTCTTCATGTTTGTTGTGACAAACAAAAGCTATATATATATATATATATATATATATATATATATATATATATATATATATATATATATATATATATATATATATATATATATATATATATATATATAATTACAAATGGGGAATCGATCTCATATGTTAACTTTATACAATTAGGGTCTATGCCATCATTTTATGTTACTAGAAATGTATTTGCAAACGTCAAGATTATTTTTTTTATAGGATCAACAATTAAAATGTGGAAGAATTTGAATGAGTAAGGCTGATCTCCTACGTCTGTTTATCTGTCAAGAGGTCATATTAAGAATAATGATTTCAAAGACACTATCATGGACATGTATTGTAATTATGTACATACGCGAGAGAGAGAGAGAGAGAGAGAGAGAGAGAGAGAGAGAGAGAGAGAGAGAGAGAGAGAGAGAGAGAGAGAGAGAGAGAGAGAGAGAGAGAGAGTACGTATTGTATAAAGTGAAAAGTATCAATGACTTTTATGCGAATATGGATATATCAAGAACTTTGAACATTATGTTTGTGGTCGTTCAGAAGCATAGTCTTTACTCGCTTATAACTTGAGTTCAACTACGAATAGTGTATTTTGCGAGAGCGGTTCAGGATCCATGTTGTTTGCTGTTTGACTTGACATTATAAGCGAGTTCATACGCTGCAATGATTTAAGACGTAATGGTTTCACTTAATTATCGTTGCATGATAATATTTTATTACAGTGCTCTTATGGAGGAAGAGGGGCATAAACAGAGAAATTAAATATACTATTTCATGAATGTACCAATATAAAATAAATAGCTCTAAACATATTCATTATGGGAAATGCAAAGGGTATATACGCCATTACAAAATGACTGACGTTCACGTATATCAAAATGTTTAGTTTTTCAGATATACATTATGGTTTTCATTCCTAGTGGTTCTTATTACTTGTCTGTTTATTACTTCATTTACCTACATGTATATATGTATATATATGTATATATATGTGTGTGTGTGTATATATATATATATATATATATATATATATATATATATATATATATATATATATATATATATATATATATATATAATAAAAATAATAATAAAGCTAGTACGATCTGTTAGTAAAAAGTTATACGTTATCGTTCTGATGACTGACTTCTTCGTATTTGGAACAAAACCCCTGAATTAAATAGTTTTATACGGCGTCAGAGTTTGATAATTCAGAGAAAATGAATTTACTTTTCTTCTTATAAGTTTTACTTAGAAACCATCAACGTTTACTAAAGTACATTCAGTATTTGTAGAAATGTCACA